CTATATTGTATACCTGCAACTTATAGAATACTGTAAACCAACTATACTGCAATTAAAAAAAAAAAACGCTTAAATGATTTTCCCACTGTTTTCTTGGATGGTTGATTCCTGTGCACATCTTCCATGCTGGCCAGTGTGGGAATCTGCGGGACAGCCGGGGAAGGCTGGCATGATGGGCCGCCAAGCTCCTCCCTCAGCCAGGAGGAAGTGGGGCCGGGAAAGGAGGTGCCAGCTCAGGCTCTGCTTGCCCTCCTGCATCGGGGGGATACAGTGCTTTTCTGTTTTTGTTTTGTTTTTTAATTTATTTTATTTATTTATTTCTGGCTGTGTTGGGTCTTCGTTTGAGCAGGGGCTACTCTTCGTTGAGGTGTGTGGGCTTCTCATCATGGTGGTTTCTCTTGTTGCGCAGCACGGGCTCTAGAGCACAGGCTGCTTCAGTAGTCGTGGCGCACGGGCTTAGTTGCTCCGCAGCATGTGAGATCTTCCCAGACCAGGGCTCGAACCCGTGTGCCCTGCATTGGCAGGTGGATTCTTAACCGCTGCGCCACCAGGGGAGCCCTGCTCTTCTGTTTAAATCAGCCAGACTCAGTCTCAGTTGCTGACAACTGAGACCCCAGCTATGCAGGCCCCTGACTCTATTTCCTGAGTGTGCCTCCCCACTCAGGGAAGGGGCACGAGACCCAAAAGAAGGCCGGCCCCAAGATCACGTTTGCTCCCTGGTGTTGCAGAGAGTGGGGGAAGGGGCATTGTCATATGATACTGGCAGGGATGCAAGGAAACACGTCTATGGTGGACAGGGGCTGTCGGAGTTCGGTAGGCATTAGAAACCCGCCAGGCCACCGAGTCTGCATCTAGGGATGCTCGCACGTGGGGAAGGATGTACAGGGATGGTCGTCGTGCGAAATCACAGGCTGGACACACGTCCGCCAGCAGGCTGCGCGGTGTGGACTGCGTACACCGTGGGCCACCGGCAAGAACGACACAGACTTTTGTGATGGCAAAGACCGCCACCGTCTGTGTGAAGACAAGGGTCAAACATGCTCATATATGCACAGAGATCTCTGGAAGTCACAAGAAAAAAGGGTAGGGGCCTATGGAGAGATACTGGGAATTAGGGAGGGAGGGCAACTTCTGTTTTTTTGTACTCTGTTTTTCCAAGTACATATTTTATTTAATTTTATTTATTTTTTCGGCCGTGCCATGCAGCATTCAGGATCTTAATTCCCCGACCAGGGATCGAACCCATGCCCCCTGCACTGGAAGTGTGGAGTCCTAACCACTGGACCACTAGGGAATTCCCTCCAAGTACATATTTTAAAATATCACATACCCATGGATCCTCCAAGGTGATTTAAATGAATCACCCAGGGACTTCCCTGGTGGTCCAGTGGTAAAGAATCTGCCTTCCAATGCAGGGGACGTGGGTTCGATCCCTGGTCGGGGAACTAAGATCCCACAGGCTGCGGGGCAACTAAGCCCTCGCACCACAACTACTGAGCTCACACGCCTCAACTAGAGAGAAAACCCATGCCCCGCAACTAGAGAGAAGCCAGCACTCTGCAAGGAAAGATCCCACATGCCTCAACGAAGATCCCGTGTGCCGCAACTAAGACCCGATGCAGCCAAAAAAATAAATAAACAAAATTATTATTTTTTTTTAAAGAAAGGAGTTTGTTCTTTGCTAAAAAACAAAACAAGACTCACTCACTAATTGCCTGGAGTCACACTTGGGAATTGTCTACAATTTGACCCTGAAACCAAGACCATGTAACCTTTCATGGGGAGAGCCCCACGATCCCAGCGGTTCCTAGGTTACTTTCTGCCCTGGGAAGTGACTTAAAAAGCCCTATATCACAGGTAAAATTAACATGCTTAAAGCCAAGCCCCTGTATCTCTCCTTCAAGCCCATCCTGTTCCCAATCACGCCACCTGTTAATGGCCCAGCTAGCTCCTCAATTCCTGAAACCCGAAGCCCAAGTCAACCTCGAACCCTGCCTCCTGTCCCAGCCCCAGGCCACCCGGCAGCGGCAGCCACTTGCCAAGGTTTCTCGGACCCAAAGGCACACCTCACTTGGTCTCTCCCCCACAAGCACTGCCAGTCTTCCCGACTCTACTCGCCCCACCCGCTCTGTTCTCCGAAAGACAGTGCTCCCTCGAGGGCGTTTGCCCAGCCACGTTGTACACACGTGTGCAACCCACCACACGGCATTTGCACATACATCACACGTGCACACGTACCCATGCAGACACATCACCTACGATCACATCACAAATACACGTGCAAACTGCTCACACACCACACGTGCGTCCACGTGGGCACACAGTACGTGCATGCGTGCGTCCCACGTGCACACACCACGCGTCTCCTGCAGCAGAGTTGCCGACTGCCTGCCCCCCGCCTGACCCCTCTTCCTCGGTAACAGCGTCACCTTCTCCGCACGGCGCCACTTAATAAAAGCATTTCCCTGCCCCCCTTGCAGCTGGACGTGACCACGTGACATACCTCCGGCCAGCGAGGGAATGAAGTCGCTGGCGGGACGCCCAGGAGGGCTCGCTACGGGACAGTCAACGATGTGCCCCTTCCTTCTGCCCTCCCTCTTCCCTCCCGCCCGGAACACAGGCGGCGCCAGGGATGCACGGACCAGGATGAAAGCTGCGTGCCGCAGGGGGCCAGGTGGCCACCCAAAAGGAGCCCGTGTCCTCCAGCGCTGGGGACTGCTACCCCTGGCCTGACGGCCCCCCTGTCCTGTTGTGGTCTGCGCCGCTCGCCGGGTCGCCGAGCCCCACCCTGACAGCCGGACAGCCAGTCCTGCCAGGAGCCGCCCACTGTCCCGCCTGCTCCAGCCTCCGCCCAGCCACGTGCCCCCGCCAGGTCACCCGTTCCCACCGCTCCGGTCTGCTGCTGACACAGCACACGGTGCTCCTTGCACCTCTCTCGGTGAAAGACCCGTGGAAAAGACCAAGAAAAAGGTAAAAGAAGTGACTAAGCAAGGTTTGTACTTATTTAATAAGAAAATCGCTTCTTTAAAAAAATAGTGTCTTTACGTGCTGAGTTGTGTGTAGTCAACGCGTGAGCTGAAAATAGAGTCGCGGCAGGTTCTCCCCGTGACGGACACTCAGAATGATGCAGGTCTCAGGATCCCGAGCTGGGGAGGCCGCGCACGGGCCGTCCCACCTGGGCGAGGCATGCTGCCAGCGGCAGGCTGGCAGGTCCCGGCGTGCGTGTCGTGGGCCAGCTCAGGCACTGTCCCCGTCACTGCCTTCCAGGGGGCGGGGGACCTGCAGAGCGAGAGCAGACAGGAAACGGCTGTTGGGGAGCACGCCGCCCGGCGAGGGCCGTCCCCTGCACAGGGGCTGCCCGGCGCGAGGCTCAGCCTCCCCCGTCTTCCTCTTCCTGACTCGAGAACCTGTCTTGCACGGGCAAAGCCAAGGGCTGGGGACCGGAGGGGGTCTTCATCGGGCTCCTCCAGCTCCCAGAGGCTTCAGTGACCTTGGGGACGTAAAAATGACCTACTGCAAAGCTGGTCAAGTACAAGCCCCTCAGCGCTATATAAAGACAGCAGACGGTCAGAGGCCTCTCTCTGTCTGTGGGAATCAAGCAGAGAGCAAGCCTGGCCCCCAGGTCCCATCTGTACAAGTGCTCCATTTGGCCTCACAGTGCTGGGAAAATTAATAACCACCAACATTTAAAGAGTGGACTATTTCACATACAAGTCTGGAATCGCAGTTTCTCCTGAGAAAAGGTAAGCTCCGACAACACTCAGGCCCACCCTCCACTGGCTGGCGCTGAGCTGCAGGGGCCCTTCCGGTGGAATGAGAGCTCTGCTGTTTCTCCACTGAGTCCCGTCTCCTCCCCGACGCTGCTTGGAATTCACCACCTGACCTGCAACCCCCGCCTTTCTCACGCCTGGCCCACCTTGCCTGCTCCCCTTGCCTGTATGCACATGGTTTACAAGCCCGGCTGGGGAGGAAGCACAGTGTTTTTCTAGATATCTAGATAATGGGAAGAAATCTCCCAGAGCTCCAGGTGGGACTCTCACCCTTTGACAGCCTGCTGGGACGCCATGAGAGAACATGGGCTTTGGGGACCTCCCTCGCCCCAGGGTAAAGGACTGAGAACTAGGGATAAATGTTAACTTTTAGCTCCAGCACCTCCAATCGTGGATGCTCTCCTTCTAACAGAAGGTTGGCAGTTAACTCACAGACGAATCACACTTTCAGCCAGGTCCCCGCTCGGTAGCGGACAGCAGGGCTCTGGGACAGTGGGGCCGAAAGCACGGCCTGCGTCCCCTCCCAGGTGGAGAGCGCCCGGGCCCGGACAGGAGCGCCGCCCAGAGGGCGGGGAGAACGACGCTCGGCCGCTCGGCGTCCCTGGTGCCTGCCAAGCGACCCCATGCTCCGGAGCCAGGTACATGCCAACTGACCAGCAGCAGCAGCCAGAGGAGGACGTCCTACTGGCACCTCCACCTCACACACGGGAAGACGGCCACCGAGCATGTCCCTCACCCAGTGTCACTAAGCGCAGAGCAGGGGAGCTGGCCACCAGGTCCTATGCCCTGGCCCTGCTCCTCCCACTGTTGTGACCCCGGGGCAGCGACAGGCCTCTTGGTGCCTCAGCTTGCTCATCTATACAATGGGTACAATGACAGGGGGCAGAGTGGGTTTAAGCTTAGCCACGGACAAGAACAGATGTGGACAAGTGCTTGGCTGAGCTCCTGGAGGGGCCAGCGCCAGCCCCCGGGGTTCCCAACCCCCAGCCCCCGTGGCCCCTGCCCCACCTTGGCGCCCGGGCCGGCGGCCGCGTGGGCAGTGGCGCTGAAGTCATGCATGGGCAGGGTGCTCAGCCACTGGGCCATGGACCTCTCGTGGCGCTCGGTGCCGATGATCGTGGGGTAGATGTGCTGCTCCTTAAAGGCCGTGACCTCAGCCTCCTCCTGCGCCCAGTCCAGCGGCTCGTGCAGCCCGTCGCGGCCGAAGCGCCGGTTGTAATTCTCGAAGTGCACCCGCTCCAGGACCAGGCCGAGCCCCGGCGCCTTGGGCACGTCCACCTTGGCCTCCCCCCAGCAGCGCTCCAGCACGCTCTCGGGCGCGTAGCCCTTGACGATGGCCACCACCAGCCCCACCATCTTCCTGATCTGGTGCGTCATGAAGCTCTGGCCCTTGACCTTGATCACCGCAAACTCCATGCCTTCGCGCACGAAGGGCTCCTCGCAGAACACGTCGAGGATGTAGCGCCGGGCGCTGGGCTCGCGGGGCCCCTTCTGCGACGTGAAGTTGTGGAAGCTGTGGGTGCCCCTGTAGCAGGCCAGCAGCCGGTTCACGCGCCCCAGCGTCTCCGCGTGCAGCCTGTACGTCTCGTCCTGTGTGTCGTGGTCCTTGTGGGCGAAGGCGAACGTGGGCAGCATGTAGAGGTAGGTCCTGGCGTCGCACTTGTTCTTGGAGTTGAAGCCGCCCGTGACCCTCCTCAGTCCTGGGGGCAGAGGAGGCGATGAGGACAGACCGACGACGCCCCGAGCAGGTCCGAGCGCCGGCACCGCACCTGCCGAACCCGGACGAGCCCGAGGGGGCCCCGGCTCCGTGCGCTAAACCCTCAGCTAAACCCTGTCAAACAAACCCCGGGGGCGGCCAAGGTGCGGGACACCCTGCTCTCGCCTCACGGATCCCGGGGGACCCACGCGGACTAAAGCACCAGCCGGTGACCCTGACCCAGAAGCCTTGGATCAGAAGCCATCCTGCAGGTGAGGCCAGGGACAGCAGTGCGTTCAAACAGCAAAAGAAACTGGAAACAACTTAAAAAGTCCAGCAACAGGGTAACGATCAACGGCTCTTAGACATTTGCAGAAGGCAGAGCAGGCACCCGTCCCCAGGACCGGGGGCCGCACCGCCGAGCACTCACTGTGCCTGGCCAGGGCTCCCAACAGACTTCTTAACCGTTAAGTGAAAGAGGAGCAGAGCAAAGAACTACGCGTGTTTCTCTTTGTGAGAGAAAAATACAAACGTACGGACTGTGTCTGCGTTTGCAGAGAAAACTTCTGAAAAGAATCACAACCGTCGGGGTGGGGGGGGGCGTCCGGGAACTGGGGAGCACGAGGCGCCTTGTGGCCCTGGCTGCTCCATGCTGCGCGGCTGTCCTCACGCTAGAGTCAAGACCAGGTCGCGAGGACTCAGCCTCACAAGGAGGCTGACTTAAAGGCCAACTTTGGCTTCACGTTACAAGGACTGATTCGGACACCGCCCCGGGGCTGCCAGTTCAAGGCTGCATCTGCGCCGCCCTTCCCGTCTTCTGTCTCTGCTGTCGTGTTTGATTTGGGGTAATCTTATTTTTGTGTTTTTTCTTGCTTTAAGCATCCAATTTCATCAACACAGAGCATCACAGGTATGCTTTGTGCACCTTATTTCTGTCGTGCGGAACATACCTGCCAAGAAAAGGCTGAAAGGGGCTGGCAGCCGACCACATGGCTGCGCTGCTAATGAGGGAAACACAGCCTTGCTGTGTCACGTTATGTAAGCAGTGCTAACGGCTGCAACTTGTGTAGGGCTTGGTATTATTTTAGCAAAAGTGGGGAACAACCGGTGGCATACGTGAGAACGTTCCCGCGGAATGAACGTTAAGAGGCATCACGTGGGGCTTTAAGAGGACTGGCTCCCAGAGAAGGTCTTCAGGAGGGAATTATCCTCACCAGGCAGAGAAAGACCACAGGACAATAAAAATAAAACCGTGTTATGCCAAAAATAAATGCAGAGCCTTCCCCGGCGGTGCAGCAGTTAGGACTCCGTGCTGCCACTGCAGGGGGCGTGGGTTCCATCCCTGGTCGGGGAGTGAGATCCCGCGTGCCGTGCGGTGCAACAAATAAATAAATAAATAAAAATTTAAAAAATAAATTCAATAGTGGGCAAAGTAATCAAAAACAAGGGTTGTGACTTTGTGTTGAGATCCCTATTTATACTTGTACCCAATGTTCACGGCAGTTTCTTTTTGTAACAGCCCCAAACTGGAAACACCCGCAGTGTTCCCCACCAGGTAGCTGGATAAACAACTGGAAACCACGCGGCAATGGAGAGGAACAAACCGGATGCACCGACGACGTGCAGGAATCTCTAACCAGAGGCTCCGTGAAAGAAGCCGTTCCATACCATCCTGTTTACATAAAACTCTAGAAATACGAAGCAGTCTATAATGAAAGAGAGCAGATCAGTGGTCGCCTGGTGAGGCATGGGGTGGGAGGGGCGTGGGGAGGGTCACAATCTTCTGGGGGTGACAGAGAGGGTGACTCTCTCAAGTGGGCTGGTTTCGCAGGTATGCACACATATCACAACTTTTTAACTGTATAATGAACTACGCAGTTTACCGTACAGTGGTTACACTTCAACTTTAAAAAGCATTTAAAAGTGTTTTTAATTCTCTGGTTAAAGAAAAACTGACACTGTAGTGTGTGGGCGATAACACAGGCAGACCTGAAATACACGTCACGACAGCAGGACAGGTGCAAGTGCGTGGCTGCAGGTGTTAGGTGCATGCAAGGTGGCCTGGCTTCACGTGAAGGCAGCTGTGGTAACTGGCCCATGGATGCTTTGACCCCAGGGCTGACAAACAGTGGCTAAAACCATGGCCGTTCCTGTACAACTTCTGAGCTAAGGCTGGAAGGGTGGTTAAAAAAGAAACAAAGGAGAATATGCAACAGAGACAGCAAATCTATGTGGCCACAAAGCCTCAGATAGTTTACTACCTGGCCCTCTGCAGAAAGCCTTTGCCAGCCCTTGCTTTAAGGGCCGGCAAAGCAATCACTAAAAAAAAACCATAGTGAGTCATCGCATTAGCTAACCAACGTGATAATGAAATGCAATGATAAGAAACATCAATTAATCCAAAAGGAGGGAGAAAAAGAAGAGGGAAACAAATGGGACAGAGAGAAACAGAAGGCAAGCAGAGCTACCCCCAGCCACCCCACTACCACATTAATTATCAATGGCACATATATGCCACTTAAAAGGCAGAGAGAGTCAGACTGGGAATCCCGTTATCAGGCCTGTTACCATAGGGAGTCATAGCCCCTGTTTTAATTTTATCAAATCTGGACTCATATCCAAGCATTTGGTTAAAACAAGGCACATGTAGCACCAAGATGCTGCACCGAGGGCCTTTCCAAGTCTGTCTGTCTGGCTGTGTCCCTTTCTGAAGGAGGTGGGAATACTGAACCCTTTCTTACAGCCGACTCACAACCACTCCTACCAACTGCTAAGCAACCACTCTGTTATCTTAGCTCCGCAACAGAGAAATTCGGTGAAAGAAGAAATTTCGTGTCTCCGTGAGACCGGCCACCACCCACTGTGCCGCACAGCGCTGCAAGGCTTACCCAGTATCCGAATGTGAGACGGAAGGTGGCTGTTAATCTTTTCTAAAAGGTCATCAATCAGCCACATCTTCAGGGACACAACCTGGCCGGCCGCAGACACACCCTGCAAAGGACGCAGACATGGGAGGGCCAGCTGGGCCTTGCACTTGCAGCACGACACTCTGCAAGCTGGTCTCTTCAGCAGAAGGACCACACGCAGGCTACATCTTTCCGTGCAGGAATTCTGCTTTTAGAAGTGCATCTGAAGGGAATAATCAGATACAAGAACAGTGCTCTATACACCAAGGGAGTGAGTGCCACACAACTTATAAAATATTACAAGTGAACTTCAGAGCCCAACAAAACACGGGAACAAATACATGAAATCCTGCAGATAGGAGATAAAGTCCCACCCTGGATGTGACTCTCAAGGACTTAGGAAAAAAGAAAATGCAACTTAGAGAACTCTGGAGCTGAGCAAGGTCACCATCTAAGTCACAACAGCAGGTACCCTGTGGGGATGGGGTGCTAGTGACACAGGTAAAACTGATCAAGCCCTGCACTCAAGAAGAGTACAGTTTACCATTTGTATGGTATACCTTTTGTCTAAAAGCACGTTTTCATAAAAGGCAATACGGCAGTAAGGTCTGGGGGAGGGGAGCGGTGTGATTCGGAAGGTGGACGAGGAGGGGGCTCCGGGGACGCGGGCAGAGACCCACGTGATGACCTGAGTGGAGATTATCCAGGCGCTCACCATAGAATCACCCATTTCACTTTATACTGACGCTGTATGCACCTTTCTGTTTACTACAATCATACTTTCTAAAAAGAATTTTTTAAATATAAGCAAAGAAGATAGAGTACCGTGTAACACTCCCGCCGAAAAATTTCTTTAGTCTGAACCTAGTCATGAGAACAATCAGACAAATACAGGTTGAGGACATTCGTCAAAATAACTGGCCTGGGCTTCCCTGGTGGCGCAGTGGTTAAGACTCCGCCTGCCAAGCAGGGGCCACGGGTTCAAGCCCTGGTCCAGGAAGATCCCACATGCCATGTAGCAACTAAGCCCACGCGCCACAACTACTGAGCCTGTGCTCTAGAGCCCGTGAGTAACTACTGAGCCCGTGTGCCACAACTACTGAAGCCCGCGCGCCTAGAGCCCGTGCTCCGCAACTAGAGAAGCCACCGCAATGAGAAGCCCGCGCACCGCGATGAAGAGCAGCCCCCGCTCACCGCAACTAGAGAAAGCCCGTGCACAGCAACGAAGACCCAATGCAGCCAAAAAAATAAATTAATAAAAGAAATAGAAAAAAAAAATTTTTTTAATTAAAAAAAAAATGAAGGAAACTCAAAAGACATGACAACTGAATGGAACCATCAACCCTGGGTTAGACACAGGATCAGTAAGAAACGGTGTATCAGTGTTAAATTTCCCAAGGGTGATAGCTACACCGAGCAGTTGCCAGAGGATGCCACTGCTCATGCGACATATTTTGGGGTGAAGGGTGAGGACGTCTGCAACTTCCTCTCAAATGGTTCCATTCAAAGGCACAAAAAGGAAAACAAATACGGCAAAAGTTTAACACTGCCGAGTCCAGGGGAAGACCAAGGGTGTTCATGCATTGTTCCTGGGACTTACGGAGGTCTGAAGTTTTTCCACATAAAAAGTTGAAGAGATTTTTGTAAAAAAGAAGAAAGGCAAAAAATAAACTGGTGGGATGAAACACAGGCCGAATCCACTGTTCCCCAGGCAGACACCCTCCAACACAGAGGCATCTGGCCATGAGCGGCTACTGAGGGCATAAAATGGCTGTTCTGAAATGAGGTCTCAGAGTCTCAGCACACGAAAAAGGAACGGAAATACATCTCATTGCTAATCTTTTTATATTGATTACATGGTTTTTTGGGTTTTTTAAATTTTTGGGCTGCACTGGGTCTTTGTTGCTGTGCGCGGGCTTTCTCTAGTTGCAGCGAGCAGGGGCTACTCTTTGTTGCGGTATGCGGGCTTCTCATTGCGGTGGCTTCTCCTGTTGCAGAACATGGGCTCTCTAGGCGCGTGGGGTTCAGTAGTTGTGGCTCACGGGCCTAGCTGCTCTGCGTCATGCGGGATCCTCCCGGACCAGGGCTCGAACCCGTGTCCCCTACACTGGCAGGCGGATTCCTAACCACTGTGCCACCAGGAAAGCCCTGATTACACCTTGAAATGAGAATTTTCTGGATATGCTAGTGGAGAGTGGGTGATGACTAAAGGGTACAGGGAAGTTTTAGGGATGATGAAAATGTCCTAAGTTTGACTGTGGTGATGGCTGCACAACTGTGAGAAAGGACTAGAATCAATGAATGTACCCTTTAAATGGGCAAAATGTGTGGGAGTGAATTACAGCTCCTTGAAACTTTTTTTTTTAATATGAAACAAAAACAAAATATTATCATTTGTTCATCCATGGGGATGTTAGTTTCAAAGGTTTTCTAGATTTCCCAAAATGTAAGAAGGAAAACATATTCGAATAAAACCATCTCTAATAACAGAGAAAACTGAAATAAATGCTAGCCCTGTATTTGGAAATGCTGTCTTCATTAGCTCAGGCAAATGTTTACTTTTCTTCTGCCTTGAAAACAACCAGAGAGCTGTAAGTGGGAAAGTTAAAAAGAAAACAAACACCACGATGAGCCCCGGTACTCTTTACCTGGACCAGCTAACATGTGACTGGATCACCCACGAGACTGCCAGGCGCCTGTTTTTGTTCTCAGCTGTCTGTGCGGTAGCTCTGGTTCCGGGGTTCTGGCCTGGGCCTATGGATCCCAGGGGACGCTGTACCTTTGAAACTCAAGGTTATTCAGATTCCCGGGACCCTGACCTGCAAAAAGCTACGTGTACCACAGACTCCCAGTGACCTCAGGTGGCCAGAGAGATGATTTCAGGGCCCGGGTCTGAGAGAGCCAGCTCAAAGGTGCATGGGCACTTTGGGTTTTTTATCTCCTGGGTGAGAGCTTTATGTTCTCCGTGGCTGGTTGTCCCACCTGCCTCGGAGACACCCTCCATTCCTTTGTGGGGAGCCCCTGCTCGCACCAGCCCCACACCTGGGAATATGCCAGGGTAGGACCAGCCAGCGACTGGCCTGGGACGGTGGGAGAGCCAACCAGACAGCAGGACTCAATCTCATGAGCATGAATGGACAGTGCTGGGTCACAGCCACCCGAGACTCCTGAGCGTGCAACTCCCGCGGGGTTCCAAAGACTTGGCGCTCACACACACACAATGGAAACTATTTCCCGTTCGCTTTTTATGTTGATTACACGTTGAAAGGCGACTACCTCGGACACACTAAGTGAAATACAATTGATAACAAAACCCAGCGTCACCTGTCTCCTTTTCCCTTTTGGCTGTGGCTCCTATAGGAAGTTTAACATCACACGCATGGCAGGCCTCTGCGCCCACGCGGTCCTACTTGTATCGCGAGCCTGAGATGGATGGATTGAAGGCAGATGTTGTGGCCACCGTGCCACCCACAGGAGCGACGGAGGAGAAAGCACAGACGGAGAGGACGCCAGACCTTGTGGCCCTGAGCACCTAGGTCCAGCCACACCTGGGCCGGAAATGCCCCAGTTTCTTGGCCACACGAGGCAACAACTTTCTTTCCACTTACGCTAGTCTGAGCTGCGCATCTGTCATTTGTAACCAAGAGAACCTTGAGAGATAAAGGTGCTAAGATGGAAAGTGGGATGAGGACAAACACAAACCACAGACCGGCGGCTTCGGTGCTGCTTTGCACCTGCAGGGGATGTGGGGACAGCACCTACCTTGTCCGTCCGGGCGCAGCGCTGGAAGGACATCTTCCGCATGTCCTCCCCGTGATTCTCAGGAATACAACCCGACCGGACCAGGGCGGACACCAGGTCATCTTCGATGGTCTTGAATTTCGAGGACCCAACATTCCTCTGAGGAGAAGAGAAGAAGACGTGCTCTTCATTCTGTCACAGCCCACAGCAGGCGCCCGGGGCCACGGCTCAGCCAGGCAGCAGCATGTGCGCTGTGCCCGCACCTGGCAGGTGGGGCCGCACCTGTGGGCGTGGAGAGACCCTGCAGCTCGTCCCCCGACCCACGGGAAGCAGGAAAGCCACCTGTGGGTACCCAGTCCTAGAAGCTTCCCACCCTGGGCAGCTGACACTGGGCATCACCTGCGACATCATTTCCCCCTACCTGGTCAGATGTGAGACCAGCACCCTCCTGCTGGAGACCCATCTGTCTGTTGCACCCGGCCAAAGAGGGACTCCCCTCCCTCAGCACCCCCAGGGGTCTCCCTCCCTCACCACAGCAGGGAGCAGGCCCTCTTGCATCACTACAGGGAGGCAGGCCCCCCTGCTGGAGGAGGAAGCCACCCCAGGGTGCTGCCAGCACCTAGTGGGTGCGGATGCAGTGTAATTACAGTCCAGGGCCTGCAGGACCCTGTGACATCAGTGAGATCACCACCCTGACGTTGTCAAAGAAAATCTTGGCAAAGCAAGGGACACAGGGCGACAAGCACTTTGCCAAGACGCACCACAGTGGGCAGGTCCTTCCCAAAGTCTACCTCACGGTCCCCACTGCAGCTTAAGTCCAGTCCCTTTACTCAGCAAGAAGCTATAAATGCTCCTCCAACGATCGGAATGGATATTAAGAAACGGGGATAACCACCCTTCCCCACATCCCGCTGTGTCCTTCTGTCACCCTGTGAGCTACCGTCACTCTCTACCCCCCATCCATTCCCCTAATGGGGAAACTGAGGCCAACAGAAGATGAGGAGACACAGGCAAAATTCTCAAGGCAGCGCGTAAAGCAACAACACATGTAATCAGTCACCCTCCAACAAAAAAGCATTTAAACATCCGCAAAGGGCAGCAGAGGTGGTTTATTTGTTCCACTAGGTGAGACCGAAGCACTATTTCCACCATTGTCACAATCTACCCGTGGTCACATCAACGGTCATCAAATTGGTTTCACGGGTACAACCCTATACTTAATAAAACATACTAAAATAGGATACAAAGTATCTCATTACTACTATCATTTACAGTAAAGGTGACCACAGCACCTGGTAAGGTTGGGCATTGTTTTCTTAAACTTCCGCTTCAGTGAGATACTCTACACAGCAGTGAATTCCTCCAAGAAGTTTAAAGAACGAGGCACCAAAGTGTAAGAGCCACAACGCTGACCACAAGGGACGAGAAGAAAATCTACGTGCAGCTGCCGGGGTGCCGGGGCTCCTGTGCCTTTCAGGTAAGGGTCACGGGGCTGGGCTGGGCAGGGAGCCCTCACGTGCCTGCGTACCCACAACCGTCACCTTCACGTGTCTAACAAAGAGTAACAGCTGCCTCTTCTGAGCATCCCTGGCGCTGTCCCAGTTCTAGCGTGCGGTATCGGTCCACCTAATGGCTCTTCCTGCCCTGTAAAGTCAGCACTGTGATCATAAAGATGAGGAAACGACGGACTGAGAGCTCTAGTCACTTGCCGCCTCTGGTCAGCGGCAGGCCTGGGCCTTTAACCACCTTGGGAGACTCATGAACACCTCCCCCCCGCCCCCCGCCCC